CTCTTTCCTGCCTATGCAGGGGGTCGGACTCGATGATCTATTGAGGTCCCTTCTGACCCTAACATCTATGAATCTATGAATCTATGAGCTCCTGAGGTCCCTTGTAGCCCTACTTTTCTATGACTCTATGGATTGTAAGACATTATAACTGTACTGAGCTTTTACTGTTTCCTATTCATTCTTTTAAGGATAAATCCTGCTTTTGAAAAGCACATCTAATTCCCAAGAATTCAGTGAGAAGTGTACACATAGTTCCAATGATAGGATTTAGTTCTGAGTACTTACTAAAGATCTGGTGAGGAGTGGTAATATGCTGAAAGTGCAGTGGGGTCAAGGAAGGTCATGATATTGTTACATATACTGACTGAGGAATTTGTGAAGCAAAGGGCATGTCTACATGCGCATTTACCCTGGCATTTACTGAGCAGTAAGCGAGAATAAGCTGGTCTCTACACTTGCAGGCATTAAGGCGCATTAACGCTGTTAATCCCAATGCTGTTAAATTAGTCTTAAATCAGTCTACACACACAGTGTTACTGTGCAGTAGGTGTCTACATGTGCATTACTGCACAGTAACTAATAGATTGTAAATTTAATCCCTGCATGATGCAGATATCAAATTTATGTGCAAGTCAGCATAAATCACCATATTTACTGCACATTATGGGCATGCACGTGGAGAAATGTGCCCATGTTGAGCAGTAAATTTGGTTACTGGGCAGTAAATGCACATGTGTAGACATGGCAAACGTGTTGGGAATCAGGGTTAAAACAGCTATGACCACAGTAGGTAATTCTAGTTCATCTTCTACTGAGATTTAAGAATCTTTAAACTCTTAAATTACAAAGAACCAAGCTTAAGGCAAACTGTTTCTGGTAAAAAAAAGTTAATAGTTAAGTGTTTCCCCCCAAACAACTTGGCATTTTTGCTCCATAATGGAAGATGTAGTACATCTCAATAGATGGCAAAATATTCACTATCAAGATGTGACTTCTTGACAAAAGACATTGCCAACACCTTCCTGAGGATACCTGGAGCCCCACGATCTCAATGGGAAGCAATATCCACCACTAGCTTTAATCAGCTCTGATGGATACAAGTGCTGTTTGTAAGACGTTACCTGGCAACAGGCAAATTCAATCATAGAAGACAATGAATTTGTCCCAGGGATATATTGTTCTGAAATTTTTGAAGTAGCTCGATCTATGTGAACCTTTTCCGCACAGAATAGTGTAAACATTTCTTAGAGAGACAAATAGCACTTTCATAAACACTCAAAGTAATTCTACTGTGTAAGATTTTGCAGGTGGTTAATGGAGGTAAATAAACCTTTCTTTATTTCCTCCGTAGCAACAGCCAAACCATAAGATGTAAAATACTTATGATTTCTGAAGTATTCTGATTTTTGCCTATTATGTTTGGTATGGTATTTAGTAAAGGAAAGCATTAGGTAATAGTAATCTCATTCAGAATTCTAATCTGAACATAGACCTACCATCATGAAATATGTACACATTCTGCAAGCATGAAGTAATTTAATTTAGATATAATATACCTGCAAAATACTGACTTTCAGCTTTTCTGAAGATATACAAAGGACAAAACAAGTTGTTATTGAATTTCTAATAGCTTTTAAGGCAAGACTGAATCTCTTATGAACATGGAACTGACCAGCATATCTATATATTTTGTTCCCATAACAGTGTTTGTCACATGCTGTTCTGCTCTACAGACATCACTGAGAACAAAGAATTGAATTGCACTAGAAAAAAATGTTTCTACCTACCCTGAGAAACAGTTTCATTGATACAACTATGAAAACAGGTCTTGTTCCTTTTAAGCACAAAAATGTTATTTTTGCATTAGGACTTTTAGAGAGTTTCTCTTTTAAATTGCTTGGCTTTTCCAACAAAGAATTTATTTTTCATCATCAAAGAATTAGGTCTTTCTAATTTGTTTTTATTTTAAAAATTGGCTGTTTTCCTTTATTTCAAATTTTAAAATATGTCATAGATAGCTAATGCACTGTTAAAACTGGTCTTTTGTATACTGTAGACAAAAAATGTTAAGACAAGCTTTTTGGGGGAACTCTTACGATTTTTGAATGATGTGTGTTGGCAATAGTGTCAGTGGCTCCAATGTTTGTTATGTTGACAAAGTGAGGTACCTGGGAAATTTTGTTATCTACTTTTTCTCTTCTATGGTATGATTGATTCTTCTTATTTTTCTCTTTTAAAATACTATTGTTTAGCTTTTTTCATTTTGCTTTGGTTTGGAGGTTCTTTTTGTGGGAAGCAGTAGTTGAGGAAAGATGTGAAAAACCAGTAGTTATTTGGCCAGAAACATAAGTGAAACAAGCCAGTTATTTTTCTTGACTAAACCAAGTGTAAAGTGAAAAAAAAATACAATTTGAGAAAGACAATGAAAAATTAAGACTGCATTCACTCCTTTCATCCCCCAAACTAAATATCTTCCTCTCTAAATGCAGGTTTGCAATGTGATGCTCTTACAGGAATGCTCTGATTTCAGCTTCTTAGGAGAGAGAGTAACTCAGAAAGCTTTTAAACTAGGTTGCCGGATAAATCTTGGATTAAAGAAGTGCTTAGTTTATGGTCTGTTTGGGCTCTGCCTATATTTCTAAAGCTCACGTTGGTAAGTTCTGTCATGACCCAAAGGGTATGATTTTGTGTGTGCTTCGGCACTACAGAATTATTTCCCGCCACATGGAGCTTTCTTTGCACGGTGCAATTCTCAGTTGCATAGAGAAAACCCCGGTGCAAAGGAGTTCCCGCCACCCGTATGTAAATTTGTTTCCCACTATTGGCTGTTTCTAAATTATTTCCACGTGGTGGCTAGCCGTTTCGAGGAGGACACAGGGGCCTGATCAACCTCTAGCCTCTCCCTGTCGCCGCACGATCCCTCGACGTACCCTACCCTGCGCGCTCGTGGAGAGTCACCTTTCGGACTCTCATTTCAGTCATTCCACGGAGCCTAGCAAACTCCGTGAGTGGTATCCAGAGCTCTGTTCATGTTCGTTTAGCAGAGCCTAGCAAACTCCGCTTGTGTGTCTTCGGTGGAGCCTAGCAAACTCCGCTTGTGTTTGTCTGTAACTGCAACTCAAGAAAGTTTTTCCTGCCTGCACCACGACCACCTACGGTGTAAGTAAAACAATCTTTAATCAACCTCTACGCGTCAGTGCCTAATTCTAGTTCGCCGTGCCGACCCTTTCCCCGGCCCACGTGCCCGGGCTGCTGGCCACAGCCCCTCGGCCCCGACAAGTTCAAGCATAGTACATTCCTCAGGAAGGGGTTAAGTCAACTCAAGTCAGTCCCGAGGCCACATCAAACATTGGGGCACCTTTGATATAGCAATAATTTTCCTCCATTCTTCCCAGGCTTTTGCAGTCCTTGTACATTCACTAAATTTTAATCCCATACAGTCTTTGGTGTTGGTAGTCCATCTCATCCTAGGTCTTCCTCTTCTTCTTTGTCCAACCACAGCACCCTGTAGGATGGTATTGGTAAGAGCACTGGGCCTCCTGGTTACATTTCCAAGCCACTGCATCTTTCTAATTCTTATGATTTCGAGTAAGAGTTTGTTTTTTCTGACTCCTTGTCTGATTTGATCTTTCACAGATTCATTTGTTCTGTGTGCAGTGTAGGGTATGCGTAGAAGTCTTCTGAAGCACCACATTTCGAAGTGCTCAATTTGCTTTTCCAGTGCCCTAGTGAGTGTCCAGGTCTGGCAGCCACAGAGAGCTGTTGAAATGACAACAATGTATAGTAGATGGAATTTCATTTTAATTGTGATGTTACTGCTAGTCCAGATTTTCTTCAGCTATGGCTATTCTTGTTTTTACTTCTTTTTCTAATGTAGCATCTTTTGTGATGGTTTCTCCAAGGTATTTAAAGTGTGTTACTTTTTCTAGCTTCTCTCATTACTAATTTTTACTGATGCATCATCATTCCTACTGGCTGATGTTATCATTACTTTGCTCTTCTCCACACTGTACCTGCCTCCGCTCTAACAGGTCTTCCTGCGCCGCCTTCACCCAAGCCCTAGATCTTGCGGGCCCCGGACCTATGGGTGGACCCCAGAGGTTACCCCTGCTGATGTCAGGAGGACCCCTGAACTCGCCTGCCACGACTTTGAATGTAACTTCAGTGGGGGGGGGTCCGTCCTTGGGGTAGCCATCAGAGTTGGCGCGGTCCCTGGTGGGTAGTCTTGGGGCTCCGTCCTTCCCTATACCCCGGCCACTCGCCACCTGTAGCTCTACCTCTTCTTGGCTTCCACGGTGTCCTAGGACTGCCACTGTCTTACCCCCAACCTGCCGGCCGTCCGTCAAGGTCCTCGGCTCAATGTACCGTCTGTCGGGGTCGCCAGCCCGGCCCTTCCACCTCGGCTCCTTCCTTAATCCTGCTGTGGGCTTCTCCACCGACTCTGCTGCGTGAGAAGTGGCCGGCTCCCTCGCCGGCCCTGCTGCCTAGGAGGCAGCCAATTTCCTCACCGGCTCTTCTGCCTGCAGCGCAGCCAGGTCCTCCACCAGCTCTGCTGCTCAGGATGCCACCGGTTCCTTCCCCGGTTCTGCTGCCTGCAGCGCAGCCAGTTTCTTCACTGGCTCTGCTGCTCAGGATGCCGCCGGTTTCTCCACTGGCTCTGCTGCTTGTAATGCAGCCAGTTTCCTCACTGGCTCTGTTTCTCAGGATGACGCCGGTTCCTTCCCCGGCTCTGCTGCCTGCGACGCAGCCAGTTTCCTCACCGGTGCCACCAACAGCCTCGGAGCCGGTCCCACCACCGGCACCGCTGCCGGTTGTGTTGCCGGCTTTATCGGAGCCCGCCCTGGCTCCGCCCCTTGCTCTTGCTGCAGCTGAGTGCGGCAGCTGATCCCCTCCACGCCGGAGCTAACTCCACTGGTCTCTCCTCATCAGCCGCGCTGCTGCCTCGGCAGGGCCACCTTTTGTTTCTTCTGGGAGGCATCCTCCGCCCCTGCTGCTCTGCCGCAGCCGGATAAACGCCCAGCTGATCACCCGCGCCGGCGTCCTCGGCATGCGCACCTCCTCCAGCTCTTCTGGCTCTGCGGAAGGTAAGTAGGGCTCTTTGCTGCCCTGGGGTTCCTTCGGCGTCCCAGCTCCCCTGGGACACACACTAACTTCTATTCCATTTGTCTGACTTCATTTTATTGTTACCTTAATGAACTGATTCCTGGCATATGAAGTTGTCAGCCTGTACATGCTGATCAACCCGGCGGGGTCAGACATGTCACGTTAATCTGTGTGTGTGTGTGTGTGTATATTTGACAGATTTGGTGGCTGAAAGCACCCAGCCCCATGGAAACTGAGTCCTGCAAGATAGCTTTACTAGGGGTGAGGACTTGCAGAAGAGAGAGATCCAGTAAGAAATCCAAAATTAATCCATTACTAACCACATTACCATTTAAAATACCTTGCTAATACCCCAAACCCAAACTCTACCCTTGTACTGCATACAAATACTAATTATTTTATATATCTACATTTTTTCCCAAAAGCCTGCACAAAAAGAGCTGACTAGAGTACAACCACATAAGCAAACTAATTTCCCAGGGATCCTTTGCCTTCCTGAATCTTCAGTTTGATTTTTAAACAACAGCTTTTATTTCGTCTCTTTCTTCAGAAATTTCTTAAAAGGACAGCCTTCTCAAAAATAAGTAATCCTTCTTTCTCAATATTTAGTTCTGTTTATTTACCTTCATTTAGAAAAAAAATGGAGTTCAGGTTCCTTTTTATTGTTTTTGTCACATATATTAACACAGTGGGGCTGGGGGAGGTCCAGGGCGGTTTGGCAGGATGCTACCAAACCCTTCCAGACCCTACCAATCCCTTTGCAGATGCTGCTAGATCCCTTGACCCCCCCACCCCCCACAAGACCTCTCTTGTCCCCCTGATCCCTTCAGATCCCCCCTGCTAGCCCCCTGATCCCTTAGATCAAGTGGTCCTTTTGTAGCCCGGGTATACATGGGTTTGTACTCCCCTCTTCAATTGAGGGAATTATTGGCAAGGCAATGTGCTGTGGAGGGACACAACAGCCCAGCGACTGCCTCTGTCCCCTATAGAGTCAGGATCAGTCAATCAATTACTTAACTATATACAAATTTATTATTACAACAAAACCTGTACACACACACACACACACAAAATTATAATTCAAAAATACAAATGAACAATAGAATAACCCAAAACAAAGGATATTGATCGAGCAACCTTATAACTCTACTAATATACAAATTATTACTTCAACTTATTCACATAAACTATAAGGCAGAGTCTACAAATATAACCAGCAATCCTTAGATGACCTGGGTGCCCTCCAGGGCAGGGGCCCCACCCCCAAGGTACCACTACAGGAAAGGAGGTGGGGGGAAGGAAAAGGAGAGGGAGACCCCAAAGACTCCTAAGCCCCCACCCCCATTACCCAGGAGCGGCTCACGTGGTGCCCCTTCACAACCCTGGGGGTCCTTCCCCTGTGGGGACCCTCTCTCCAGGGTAACTTTTTTCTCCACCATCCCAGAGGGTTGCTTTCTGTTCTCCAGATCGAGCTTTGTTCCCTGCTGGGCTTTCCTGCCAACCGACTCTGCTGCCGCTGGTCTGGCTTAGGGCCACATGCACTGCTGTGTGTAGTGGGCGCTTCACCTTGTGCTAGGGGCTGGAGGCCCAGGCAGCTTTGTGCAGCACTGGGGCTCGGTCTGCTCCCGGACCCTCTATGCAGTGTCATCTGCACTGAGCTGCTGCCCTGTGTTACCTGTCAGCTCTCTGCTCCTGAGGGAGCCCTGGCACACAGCTTGCTGGAATCACAAAGGACTTTTTCTATTCTCCATCCCCTCCCCACCACACACACCTCATCTAACCAGAACCTTGCAGAAGAAAAGTTTAATAGGCATCTCGGGCCATACATTCCCCGGTCCCAGTATGGGAGGCCTACTTTAACTTGATTGACTAAAACTTGGTTGTTGGGTTAGGGAATGCTGAGGCAAGAGACCGAGCCAGAAGAGGTATGGCAACATTTGAACAATGGTTAAGGGTTCATCACAATGTCCAGCTTGTTGGAGCCCTGACCACAAATGCTATCATATTTTTCCTGGGATGACTGGTGGAAGTCCTCCCCACAAAGTTTATGAGCACTCCAAGTAATCAATCCCTTTAACTATGTTAAAAGACTACAGTAAGATCTGGAAGTCATGCTAAGCTGAGGCTTATTCACAACAGGTAAAATACAAAACACTGATGCTGACTTCACAGTGCAAGCATAGCTAGGCTATCTGAGAAGAAACAATGTGGTATTCCTTCCAGTATATCTTCTATATTCATAATAATTTCAAGGTGGCTCCTAGGTGTCTGGTTACTCCTTAAAACTTGATGTTTTCCCTAGCTGTTAATCAGTTTCTTGAGATATGCCAAACCAGATATCCCCTTGTTACTGAAAAAGGTAATTCATTTAAATTGAAACTGTTTATATAACAGGATTTTCCCTGTCAATTACAGCTTGGGACCCTCTTGATTTACACAAATAAAAGAATGCTTTGAAGAGGCTGGACTAAGGGTATAGCAAAGCTGTAAAGCAGAAAACAGGGTGCTTTAAGAGGGAGAAATCTCTCTGACACCATCCGCTGTTGTTCTCGAGAAGCTGGGAGAAACAGATCAGCTCTTTCGGTCGCCTGTTTAAATTTCAACTATCGTGCTAGGAACTTTGCCTGTCAACAAACCGCCCAAGTGCCTTGAAATGGTGAGATCCCAGCTCTTCCTCTCTCTCTTTCTCTTTCTCTCTCTCTCTTTTTCTTTTTCTTTCTAGGCATAGCTTTCTGAACCTGAATTGTATTAGTTAAGCTTGAGCTAGGTTTCCCCATACACTCAATTGAAACAGGGTAATATTGTAATTGTTTTTGTTTGTTTTCCCCTGCATATCTATTACTATTAGTACCATCATAAATTTCATATACTTAGCAATAAATAACTTTTATAGTAAAACTGGTGGTAACCCGGTGAATTTTTCCTTCTCTACTTCCTCTTACCCACTTGCTCTGCAGCAACGCTTCTTTTACCCTAAGCCAAAGATCTCTGTGAAGCCCAGAAATACTGTGGGGTCCACTCATCAAGAGGCTACCAATACTAGGACAGTAAGGGCAAAAGATTGGGACGTGCTGAGTTTGAGACACATAAGGGAATCAGCTTGTATAGGCTGATTGACCCAGTTTGGCTCAGACGTGCCCTAATGAACTGAATGCTGGCCCGTGAGGGTGTCAGCTGGACACCCAGTCAGATTCAGAGGTATTCAATTCACCTGTGTGCTTGTGTCTGACTTCATTTTATTGTTACCTTAATGAACTGATTCCTGGCATATGAAGGTGTCAGCCAGTACATGCTGATCAACCCAGCGGGGTCAGACATGTCATGTTAATCTGTGTGTGTGTGTATATATTTGACAGATTTGGTGGCTGGAGGAACCCAGCCACATGGAAACTGAATCCTGCAAGATAGCTCCACTGGGGGTGAGGACTTGCAGAAGAGAGAGATACAGCTCCGTATAGAAACAAAAGTAACACAAGCAGCACATGGATAGAATTACAAAGACCCCAGAAACATATCCCTAATAAATGAGTGCACCTCAAAGTGATGGGCAAATCTGGTAACATCTGTACCAGCAGCTGTAGACCCAAGCCACCTCAAATGGCTCCCAGGTTCTCTCACCCTCTGTGCAGTGCCTCCTGCACTGAGCTCCTGGCCTCATGCAGAGGTTGGGTACCTGAGCCACCCAACCAGCTCCAAAGATCCTGCTTCATGCATTGGCCTGTTCACCGTGTCTCTGGCCGCATGACAATGGTTGCAGACCCAAGCCACCTCATGCAGCTCCCGGGGCCCAGACGCCGTGCACTGTGCTGCACACTGAGAGCCTAAACACTGGAGCCATCCGCAGCTCCCTGCCAGTAGAAGTCTTCAGGGGCTCTCCTGGGCTACTGCTTCACCCTGTGATGCATCTCCCTCATGCAGGGCACACAGCTCCTTTTATACTCTTCAGGGCTCTGCCCCACAGTCTTCTAGACCTGACAGTGTTGCAGTCTACAATCAGGTCCGATGGAGCTCCTCTCCCCCTTCCCTCAGGAAAGGGGCATGACTTCATTTCTCTTGCTGCCTCCTGATTGGTGGATGGGCTCCACCAATCAAAACAACAGAATCTCAAGCCTGGGACTCGACCCATCTCTGAAAGGTAAGCCTGCTAGACTTTTTAAGTCAATCTAACCTCCCCCTAACCTCCTTGAACTTCTGTATGTACCCTAAGTGACATCACTGTCCAAAGTCCTTTGTTTTCCTCCCCATTTTGGAAGTACTATGTATTGGACATAGCTGGGGATAAGGCACTGGGTAGGCTCAATCTGTGCTCTAAGGTGATATAAAGAAACTTTTTTTAAGATGCCTGGATAATGTGTCTTGTAGTTAGGGGTCAAGCTGATTGTTAGATTTTGGAAAAGAACTTTTACCTGGGTCAAACTGGCATGGCCCTTCCTAGCAGTTTCACCTTCAGCTGCAGACTGGTGATACATTGATCTCTCCTGTTTTCAGCTTGAGGTACAAAATTGCTTAGTATCCTGAGGACTGAAAAGCTTTTGCCTAACTAAAGTAACTGAACTCAGTATAGATGTGTCTCAGTGAAATGTAATGGCCTGTGGTATACAGAAGATTGGACTAGATCAGGGTCACCAACCTGTGGCACACATGCCACAAGTGGCACAGTCAGCTTCTGTGTGTGGTGCACAGCAGTTCAGAGAAGGGGTAGGCAGCACAAGGGTGATAGCACTAGGAACAAAAAGCAGAGCAGTAGAGCTGGCACAGGAAGGGGATCCATACATTCATAGGCTATAAGGGGCAAGAAGGGACCTTGTAGATCATTGGGTCCAGTTCCCCTGCACTAGGCAGGAAAAGACAACTGGGGTCAAGTGACCCCTGTGAGGTGACTGTCCAGTCTCCTTTTGAAGATTTCCATGGTAGGTGAATGCAACACCACTGGAGGGAGTTTATTCCACAGTCTGGACACCCTGACTGTGAAGGA